TCCACTACATGAAGCATACTACAGAAATCATGATGCCATGTCACTTCATGTTTACATACAAAAGAAAAAGTACACTGTCGATATCATCAATCGCTATACACATATCGAAATACGCTTTGATTGCAAGGAAGCTTGTTTACAAATTCGTAAGTTAGTCACAGAAGCTATTAAAAAAAGCAGCAAAAATCTCAAAGTGAACACTGATTATATTTTTGCGTTCAAATGCTCAATGGATGAACAATGTTACTGCATTGTCCACAATAAATCTTCTGCCAGTTGTACTCATTGCCGATTGCAGTGTAAAGTACTAGAAAGTGATGATAGCTACAGATGCTGGTTTAGTGATGAATTGGCCAGTCCTACAGGTTAGCTCCATTGTCCACATAATTATGGCGACTAATTCAATATGAAATTGTATGATGATAATGATCATTTATTTTACTGTGAAATATTTTTATTTGTTAGGAGCTGAACCAACATTGAAAGTTCCACCCATTAAGAAAAATAGAACCACTCCATTAAGTAAATAAGTTATTATTTTACAAGCATAGCAGTACTTTCATCAATTGTGATTTATGCTTACTATGAAATTAAAACCCATGCAATGATTGAAGTGCCAACCCCTAGCGTAAAACCTATGTAAACTGTCAACCACAAAATTTAATACTTCACAAATTAAGAGGATACTACATGCATGTAGATACTTTAAAATTCATTACAATATATAATTATTAATTTTTCATTAGGTGCCAGTGACCTTGTTGACATACGTGATTTACTTGAAAAGCATGGATATTCTGGTGTTGATTACTATGATCTTGGTCTTCGTTTGGGTCTACTCCCTCGTACACTTGATGTTATTGAGAATGAAAACAAAGGAAATGTTCGTACGGGCCTAAGAGAATGTTTGAAGGCATGGCTGCAACAAGCTGATAATGTAAAAAGTAAAGGTGTTCCAACTTATGATATATTAATACAAGCATTGAGGGATGAGAAAAAGAATGCTGTAGCTGATGGAATTAAAAAAGAATTAGATGATTAGTGTTTACATTTCATCATAAATGAGATGGTTTGACTTGAAGTAACTCTCATGCACACATTACTTTTACAAACAATATTTTATAAAAAATCAATTCAATTTAAAAGCACTTGCATAGCAGAAACTTGAAAAGTATAATATTCAGGCATGTGAAAAACCTTTGTAGACCCACCACTTCTAATGATGTATATCTATACATATCAATTTTAATTACTTAATTATAAAAATGTATAAAATGAGGTGTCAATAATAGTAAGATAATAAATATAATAAGAGCATTAGAGCAGTGTCCAAATCTAACAAAAATAGACAAAAAGCATCAACACGTTTACCTCAGTGATTCATCTTCTGATGTTGCTCAATTGCTGCTAGTACCTGTGTTGCAGACAAAAAAATCAGCAGTTTGTATATTCACTCAACTCCATTCATTCCCATCACTTGTTGAACTTATATACATCAATTGCACATTGTCAGTTCTCAATGTCTCCAACACTAGCATTGATACTGAGGGAGTGCTGGAACTGGCCAAGTCTCTCAAGTCCAATGAAAGACTAGAAAATATTGTAGTAGATGAGAAACACAAAGCAGTGTGCACTCCATTATTACTTGGTAAAAGATTAGCCTACTCCTATGATTCTACTCCTTACAAACAAGCAGGCACTGCTAAAATATAATACTTTGCCCCATCAGTGTTCCAAAGTCTATTTGTTTTATTTTTGTATTGTCTCTTTCTCTCTGCCTTAATTGTCAGAATGGCTAAGGCCACGAAGTGGCTGCAAGCTATTCTAGATTATATGAAGAAGGTGAAGTCGATCATATCAACTTTTCCACACCCACCCTCCCAATGGAAGAGGAGGAGCTAATCAAAGGCCAAGGAAGATGGCTGAAGCAGGGGCTTATATAGTGAGGCAAGTGGGCGGATGGGCGGACCAAAAGTTATTAAAATTAGTTATTTAACTACAAATTAGCTGTAAATTAAGAAAACTGGCCAAACACAGTTGATATGATCGACTTCACCTTCTTCATATAATCTA